TAAGTTAAATTATGGGAAAATCGGTCTAAGGTCCCTATTCAACTTTTAGTAATAGATTAGATCCACAATATGTTCTTTTGTAGTCTAAGGTCCCTCACCCCCGTACCCTTATATTACACCTGCACTCTCATAGCCAGAGAAGATAACCAAGTCAGAAACATAAAGGTCTGAATTTGATTCTCGTTGGTCGAAACCCCGAGAAACTCAAGGAGGTTTCGGAGTCGATGGGAGCCAAATTCGGGAAAACCCAGATCAAGACTATGGTTGTTGATTTCTCTGTAGATTTGAACGAAGGGGTTAATCGGATTCGTGAAACCATTGAAGGTCTGGATGTTGGAGTTCTGATCAATAATGTTGGAGTTTCGTAGATTGCAAAATGCCCAGTTGGTGTCCCCGGCGACGCCGTCTGTGGCGGCCGAACAACACTCACCACCTCTTGAAACCCCGCCACGCTACAAGCGTCCATCCAAGCGACCCAAACTCCCCTTGGGTTTGGGATCCTCTTTTCCCTCAAAACCTGCAACAACTCCCCATCATTTTGAACCAGATTTCACTACCAACTATGTTTTTTCCTTTCCAAGAAGAGGATTAATCTGTTCTTCAACATTTACAAATTAATAAAATTGTCACTCTTCGGTATAGAGCATTCTCATCTTTCTCATAAATGTTATTTGTTATCCTCATGAAAGTATCACTCTTATCTTGTTGTCATAACTATATTGGTTAATATGGAAGATATAAAACCACAATAAAGGAAGAAGACAAACAAAAATGAATATAAATTGATTGTGAAGTTCAGTTTTTTTAGCATCAAGATGAGTGACTACTGTAAGGATTATTTATTTTATACACACTGTTATTATACTGCATTGATTTTGGTGGAATAAAAATTCAGAGAAATTAACCAAAGAATTTCTCTGGACCAACCCAGAGAAAATTTAGACCAACCAAACCAGAGAATTTCTCTGGACCAACCCAACTCGGAAAAAATTCAATTCAGACCAAAAAAAGTCCAACAACCCAGAGAAAATTCAGATCAACCAAACTAGTTATATATATACACATCCAGAACCATGCCTCTTTCCTCTTTTTCAATTCACTAGCATAAAAACCCACACATATACATACATATATTTATGTAGACCTTTTATGTACGATGGGAATCATCACAGTAGGTTTGGGGAATATAACAGTGGGCATTTATGTCTACTGGTCAATGAAAAACTCTTTCACTGTGGGCATAAATTGAATAATGAAAATATTTATTTTGATGATGAAAGCATAAGAATGAAAATATTGAGGAATTTTCTCTAGACCAATTTTCTCTGGATCAATTTTATCCGGACAGATATATTACACAAAATCAGAGAAATTCTTTGTGAATAGAGCCAGAGAAATTTGTGAAACCAGAGAAATTTGTGAAGTCAGAGAAATTTCCTGGATCAATGTACAATAACCAAGGTTTGTTCATAAAAATACAACTCTGCAAATAGAGAGAATTTCTCTAATCTGTCTGGTTTGGATTTGTTAGTAAAGATTGTATTGTTGGCTTACATAATACATAAAGTCAGAGAAATTGACAATATGCAACGGATTGGGACATAAACTTAAGACAAGGGGAAAAAACTGTAAGAAAGAAAGAGTACTAATCAATACCAAACAAAATCATGGGCATTTTGCATGCTAAAAGTAGTAGCAGATCTGGAAATTTTCTTAGTGATATAGTAAAGAGAACAAAGTACTACCTAATGTCCATAAGAGCATGTGATTGCATATGGTCAGGACAGTCAGTTAATGCATCAGAGAAATTCTAGGAAGGATTGGGCCAGAAAAATTCTGAGAAGAATTGGAGCAGAGAAATTCAAAATTTCTCTGGACTCAACCAATGTATTAGAGAAATTCTGAGAAATTCTGGGAAGAATTTGGCCAGAGAAATTCTGAGAATAATTAGACTTTCCAGAGAAATTTGGTCTGAAATTTCTCTGGACCAAATTTCTCTGGACTGAAATTTCTCTGGACCAATTTTCTCTGGACTGAAATTTCTCTGGATCAAGGTTGAGGGACCTTAGACATTATGAAAATATTGTTGAGGGACCTTACTCATTATGAAAATATTGAATGTCCTTTATGTTATACAACCTTAATATCAGGGACCTTAAATAAAAAACTCCTTAAATAATTACTAATACATAAAAATGTTGACGTCCACTGATATGTAGGATATGTAAGATACAGATCCTACTTTCTGATGTTCAATAAGAAATTTTAAAATTTATCATTAATTTGAATTTTTTTTTAAAAAAAAATCCATTGATATGTTATTCTTCCCTTTTTTTTCTTTTATTTATTTATTTTTTTAAGTCCTTTGAAATTGAGTGACTCTTATAAGATTTCTCTAATAATAAGGAAAAAATTTTGTTGAGTGTTTAATTAAAAAAATAATTATAAATCAATAATAAATTTTATAAATATTTATAATTAAATTCTTAATTTTTTTTATTAATTTATAATAGTTTAGTAGAAATAGAATTGGCAAGGAAAAAAAACCTAACCACAAAGGGGTGAGCGGTAGAATTTCAGTTCTTTAGGGTCTAACTCCTTTGGTCTCGTTTGTTTGACAGATTAGGTTGGATAGAATTACTAATACCGTAAAATTGAGTGAAGAGATTAGTAACGAGGTGAGATTAAGTTAGAAATATAAGATAAACAGTGTTTGTTTGTACACTACCGAATTAATAAAACCATAGTAACAATTTTTTATTTTTTTACTATTTTAAATGGATTTAATATATAAAACATAAAAAATGGCACTAATATTCCGCCATTTTTTTGCAAATGAAATGGAGAAGTGAAGAAAAAGGGGACAGAGAGGCAAACCACTCTTTTCAATATTAATTTTCTAAACTATTTTTTTAATCTCACGTCTCACTCTCACTCAGCCAAGCTAATTCACTAATCTCATTGTTCATTTCACAACTAAACAAGTCATGAGTAGGGTCCACATTCAACCTACTCCAATCTTGTAGGAAAACAAACATGACCTTTGAGACATCAAGAAAGTGGAACTTGGGGAGGAGAAGGTTTGTTTTTTTGTGAACAGTTGGAGGTCAAGGTTTATGTCACGCCCCAAGTTTCGTGACAACGCTGCACACTCATTTAAGTGAGCATGTAAGATTAAGAGTCCAACACATAACCAACAATGTAAAATACTCCAATTAAATCCTTAATTGTCATAATACTAAAATCCATAAAAATTGATTATTCTTATCATATGAAATTATCCACCAAGTCCACTAATAAAATCCATTAACAAAACAATATTCCAAGTACTTAAATCATAGTCCTACTCTCGGCACTCCCACATGTAAAAATAATCTCGCGCAACTCTACTCTTCAGAATCTGGAAAAAAAAAATAAGGGTAAGCTAGATAGCCCAGTAAATAACCAACCATCACTGCTAGCTGGATCAAGTATACAAAAATAAATAAATAAATCGATAACCAATAAATATAATTTTTTTCTACAGTTCAATAAATGAACAATTATTTGTAAGATGGTTTCATAGCTAAAAATAAACAATGTACAATACATTTTAAATGAAAAGCCAACAACATAGTTCAAAGTAATTCGTCGTTCAAATCGATGGTTCGATATTCAGATGGTTCAATGATTTAATGACTACGGTCACTTAGTCCGTGACAAGGCCCAGAACCACACATAGGCCGGTGGTAAAGCCCCAAAAGAAACTAGTTTCTGTGCCAATAAATAACCCCTATTGGCTAGGGTCCAAATCATAGTCAGACTAGAGTGATGTTCAAAATTCAAACAATACACTACTTTTAAATAAAATATTCGATATTTTCAGAATAAATATTTAGCACAATTTTCATAATAGTTCCACAACATATTCAAATAATTTTCATAATAATTTTCGATGTTGTTTTATACTTGATCCATATTTTATTTTAAGAGAACATGAAGGCTATGAATAAATACTTACAATTTTAAATGATTCAATAGGAATAAAAATGTACCAACAGTGATAAAGGGTTACTTACATCAAACGCTTAAAAACAATATTCCAACACTAACTCCAAACATTCAGCTCCACCACTTTAATCACACAAACCTAATAAACAAAACCTTAAATAAATTAATATTTTTACGTGTTACATACACCCACAAAAGCCCTATCATATTAGATTAATGTATTGCTTTAACATCCAAGTGATCAAACCATTCAACCCAACTTTATAGCCAAACACACCCTTACCCATAATACAAAACTCCATTGATTCTATTACCCACCCAAAGGTACACTTACACATTGCACCCAATTCTCAAAACCTAAGTAGGCACCTAAAGATCTTCCAAATCCCCTTAATGCATTGATTGTTAAATTCCTCAACATAAACTTAACAATTAACAGTAAAGACAGATTTTACCTTAACCAATGGGTGTCCCAAAATCACCAACGTGCTGCCTCCAATCCCTATTGTAGCCTCACTTGAACCTCTCTTCTCTTTTTCTTTGCTTTTTTCTTTTACCTTCTCAAACCCTAGCCGCCTATGGAGCAATTCCCAGCCTCTGTTTTTGTTTGTTTCCCAAGACTTAAAGCCATAATATATAGGTGAGCTTATTAACCTAATTTCTCAAAGTTACAAAATTACCCATCTAAGTAATAGAAAATATAATACCATCTCATAACTAATTCTTTAATATTAATAAATGACTCATATAAATTAATTTAATTACTAATCTATCCAATAAAATAATCCTACACACAACTTGAATTTTACAGTTTATACCTACCAAATTCCCACACCCTCCTCGGTTATTTGGCGAGTAATTTTCCCTAATAATAAAACTCCACCTTTCTTCCTCTGTCTCTTGTCACTTTTGAAATAAAAAAGAGACTATCTCTAGTGGGTCGAATGGAAAACACATTTGCCTTTCGAAATATAAAATAAATAAAAGAAAACTGTCTCTTTCTGTATTTTTCTCTCTCCTTGCTGTTTTTGCTTTGCCACTTTTGAAAAAATCTCACATCCCAACTAACTATATAAAGGTAAAGCGCTGCCGTATGCATTTTGTGTGAGAGGTTGTTGAAAATGAGACCGTTTGAACCACGGGTTGTGGCTCCGCCACCGCCTGAATCTGCTCTTCAAGCACCGCCGCCTCTGCCTCTGCCGTCTGAATCAGTAGTTCAAGTTCCTCCTGAATTGCCGATGCTAGTCGTAGAGTTCTGCTTGACAGCAGCTTTTGAAATTGCCATCCGATCCACACAGACTCCTACTACGCAATACTACTCTATAACCTTCCACTTGGTGTGTCTGGTAATGGTGTTTGCGTTTGCTTTTATCTTTGTTGCCAAATACATTTCTTCCAAGCACCCGAACCTAGGCCGCGTGCTCGAGCACGCTGGAGTAGTCTGTGGAGTTACCGCTTTCTTTGTTGCCATCACAGTCTCTTTCCCGCTCTGCCTCAAGGTCATTTCCTGGATCGTATACGCTCTTTCATTGCTAGCAATTTTCATCTTCAATTGCTGAATCCTAGCAGAGACGATTGTCACTGTCTCAGTCAGGTTGTTTTTAATGGATATCATGTTTGTGGCCATTGTTAATGTAGGACTAGTAGTTCTTAAACTTGCATGGATAGGAATTGGGAGTCTTTAACTTCCTGCGGTAAGTATGCTATTTGTCAGTCAGGTTGCTTTTTATGGATATTATGTTTGTGGCCATTGTTAATGTAGGACTAGTAGTACTTAAACTTCCATGGATAGGATTACTTCCATCAATTATGGATATTATGTTTGTGGCCATTGTCAGTAAGTATGCTATTTGTAAAATGGGCTTGTTTTTTGGAATTACTTCCATCAATTAAGTCATTAGTATAGTTTCACTTTATGATTACGTTTATTGTTTGTGAAGGCATAAACGCTAGCATATGATTGATTGAATAGCTTTGTTGGACACAGTAGGAAGGAACTCCCATTTGCAAAATTTTCCAGATCTGGAGTCTGAAATTCAATTGTTTACTTTTCCTCTTCAATTCACTGTAAGATAAATTGTGGAAACTAAGAGATCACATTGACTGTTCACAAGAAATGTGCATTTGATCCCAAAAACAATGTTATTAATGCAATTTAATGATGGGAAACTAATAGTGAACATTTTTGTTACTTAAGTTAAGCATGATGAGGTTGGAGGTGCTATGATTCATAGGTTCAAAATATGCTAGTTCAAGTGGAAGAATACTTTGGTGCATTATGTAGTTCATATGAATTTATTTAATTAAGTATATATTCATTGATAAAGCAGAATGGTAAAAAATAATTTATGTAGCTGACCTCACTTGAATGGGATACAAAACTTAATTTTGATTTGGTTTGGTTTAGTGATGGGGCATATTCAATAATTGAATTCTATCAAAAACCCAGAAGAAAAAGAGGAAAAGAATTCAAGGAACAAATCCCACTACACATATTGTCACCACTTTTCAAAATGATTTGAAAATATGTCAGAGAATCTGTTATTGAAGGTCAACTCCTTCTTCTTCCTATGTAATCTTTGGCTATATATTTGGTATTTCACGTGAACAATGTAAGTATCAACAAAAATCCCCAAAAGCTAATGAAGTTTCTACTTAGATTTCTTCTAGAATACAAAAGCAATTCCACATCAAAAACAATAGGAGTAGCTTAAATTTCTTATTAAAAATTATTTATGAGGTGAAGATGATGGTCATTAATACACTTCGATGTCATCTAATGTGGTACAAATGCTTTTATTTGTGCGCCAACATCTTTAAAACGTCTCTCATGTTCAAACAAGAAATTATGTTGAAATGTTTGTTGGCAAATTAGTTGATGATGGATTGTATTGTTAATTTAACTTTTCACTGTCGGTGTCATGAATAATACAAAATTACAAGTTAAATAAATTACACTAACAATATCAATTTGTTGCATGATTTCTTTTCCCTTCCCTAAGTGAGACTTGCTTGTTGATGGCTTCTTGACTTGTTTATGGATATGACTTTGATATGTTTTCACATACAAATATATATATATTGAATGATGTAATATCCCTTATTTTTTGAACTTTAATATTGGTCGTTGATTTCATCTAATCATTAATGTCAACCGTGTGAACTGCTATAATGTGGTACTGAAGTTGATTACATTTTGCTCTTTGAAGGGATTGGAAATAAGAAAAGAAGCATGGAATGGAATAACAGGTACACAATACATGTCCTGTTCTTGAACTTTATGTTCTCTGTTTTGTATTTGTATGTATGCTTTTTGAATTTGTATTCGCTACTTAATTGTTTCAAATATATAACAGTGCTTTTCGATTATATTGATTTACAATGTGTTAGTTGTATTTAGTTTTCTTGTAAATTTTTTAGAGCATTTCTTCCATTGTGCAACATCATTTATTTCTAACTGAATTATAACAAATTTAGATGGATCTCATAGTGTTTTTTTCATTTGAATAACATCTCATTTTTCATTTGGTAACCCAAGCTACTTAAATCTCAATTTGCATGGCTGCATGCTGATATTTGCCATTGAAGTTATGCAAATATTGTAAAAAATTGAACTCTTTCTTTTGAAGTACCCGGAGTAGTCTATAAACTGATATGCAATTCAATGGGATTATGCATAGTGGCTCACAGGGCTAACCAACAGCATAACCTATATCTAGGCAAGTATGAGATGGATTAATTAACTTACCAACCAGCCTTTGATATCTCCGTAAGTTTCTAAATAATAATCTGTATATTCAATTGTGAAACAATACAATGTGTACATCTTATTTGTATAGTAATTCTAGGCCTAATCCTATATAGGAAAGAAGAATAAACCTACGAATAAAATATTCATACAATCTAACACAATATAAAATATTCACACCAATATATATACTGATATTCTCACAATCTCTCCCTGTCAAATGAATCTTTAGTTTCAACCAGTGCAATTCTGCTTCAACATGGTATCAATAGCTTTATACCCAAGCACACTTTGTCCTTAAGAAGGTCCAAAACGTATGTTCTTAGTGAGATAAACACTCTCTTTGAGATGTTGCAACATCAATACTCAAGAAGTACTTTAAGTTACCAAAGTCTTTTATCTCAAACTCCTACATTTCTTATATATCAAATATCATCAGCATACACAAGGAGTGCAGTAACCTTGTTTTCATTTGAATGTTAAATAAATTGGGTATAGTCATCTTGACTCTGTTTGTAGCCGCATCTAAGCATAGCCCAAGTAAACATCTCAAATCATGCTCTAGTTGTAACTCATATAATGCCTTTTTAAGCTTGCACACTCCCATCAACTGAGAAATCTTCAAAGCCTGGTGGAACATCCATAAATACTTCTTCCTCTGAATCTTCATAGAATAAAGCATTCATCATATGCAACTATTAAAGAAGCTCAATATGTTAATTCTCTAGAATAGCCTACATGAACAGCTTTCGAAATGGCAAGGCTGTGAATTTCAGTTAATTTGAGTGCTTAACTACCTTGCCATGAGTCAAAATCGCATGCTCATATCAGTGAGTTTTTTCAAGAGTATGTCATATTAGAGAAATTCTACCTTGCTGCAAACTTGCCTCCACATCATCTGGCTTACTTATTCTTTTTTTTGCAAAATGTGCTTTAAGCTATATGAAAGGTTCATGAGTACCATCATTACTTCTAATCTGGATTTTCGCATGACTTTGTAGATACATCTCTTATTGAATATAACTTCAAAAGCCCGATGAGTGATGACCGCTTGGCCAATCACGATGATCCGTGATGCTATTACTGGAATAAGACAACCAACTTCGCTGGATAATTGTACTTGATTGATTAGCATAAGCAAATAATATGAAGTACCAAGCACTTAGAAGGTATTGATCATTCTCAGTGACTCCTATTAGTTCTCCTCTGTCATTTTACATCCTTTAACATTTACTCATTATGGATGACTGCATATTTCAAAAAACTCACAGAATTTGACTTTCTTCATAGAATACTTACATGTTGGAAGCGGTGAAGCTGTAATATCTACTCAGATAGTTCTCGCATCCTAATTATCTCTAACATATGAGTGATTTTATCTATACATTTTCCACTTATTATGTTAATGAATTCAAATTTCCAGTTGTAGAATGTTTATAAATGAAACACTGTCAACGGCAGATCCTTGGACTTACCCAAAAAAAGTGGTAGATCCTTCAACTTTTTTTTTTTTGATCAGCAAAGAAAAGGCTTTATTGATGATAAACACATACAAAGTATGAAAATTACATCAATAAAGAGGAGCTTGGAGCTAAGTTGGTGAGAGGCCAACGAAGAGAAAACAGAACCTGAGTGAAACAAAAAGAGAGAAACTAACTCAAGTAAACAACTTCAGTCCAGCAGCATAGCAGACCAGCAAACTAACTCAAGCAAACAACAGAGGGGCAAGCTAACTCTAGCACCAGCAGACCAGCAGTAAAGGCTTTAGTGAAAACAAGAAGCTAATTCAAGCACCAAACAACCCAGCAGCATAGCAGCCTAGCAGCTTAACACCCAACAGCAAAACCACAAGAATGGACTTCACAGCAGCAGCCTGGTTCAGAAGCAGAACAAACAGAATGATAAAACAGGTAGCTTGCCCCTGATCAGACAGCTTCAGACCAATCCATTTTGCAGCAAACAGAATGACAAAAAACGAGGCCAACCCAACCACTGCTGATGCACAGGCAGGAGGGAACAGAGTTAAGCCCAGTGTTAAGCAGGAAGTCAACAACCCCTGCCTCTTAAGCAAACTGAATACCTCAACAACCCCTGCTGCTGCACCTAAATCTGACTAGAAACACTGAATACCTCAACAACCCCTGCCTCTTAAACAAACTCTAATCTGTCCAATGTTAAGCAGGAAGTCATTAATAGAGAACTGATAATGCTTCGAATAGGCCTTCAACCAAATCGCTAGACGGATAATAATTAATTCCTGCAGCTCCTCCATATCTGGCTGAACATTTTTAAACATACAATCATTCCGATGTTTCCAAATGGTCCAAAGCGCAACTAAAGGTATAGCTTTCCAAATCCTCCTTTCAGCTTTCATGAAGCAGGAACCATCACACCAATACAACAAGCACTCAACCGAACCAGGCACCACTCAAATCGATCCCCACCACTTCAATAGACTAGTCCAAACCTTCCAAACCAGAGGACAAAAAATAAGTGCATGTGCAGCAGATTCAGCTTCAGATTTACAAAAGACGCAGACAGTGGATGCTTCCTCACCTAGAACTCCAATCCTTTGAAGGAAGACGGACGTTTTAATTTTATGTTTCCAAGCTAACCACCCAAAAAATTGAACTTTGGGTGGAAGATAATTAATCCACACCAGTGTACTAGCCCTCACACTATCACCAAATCCCAATTCAATATGCCTGTAAAGAGATGCAGCAAAGGACTGACCAGTTTGGCATGCTAGCCACAATGGTTTATCTTTTTCACCCAAACATAAAGCAGGGGCTGCTGTTAACACAGCAGTGAGTCTAGATACCTCCTCACCCTCCCACAGAAACAGAGTTCATCTAAAACTGAGATCCCACAACTCAGAGCAACCTTTTTTATCAACAAAAAACTTGAGAGAACCAAACTTAACAGTGGAAAGGGAGTAGAGTCTAGGGAAAGCCTCCTTAAGACAAACTCCACCACACCATTTATCATGCCAAAATCTCACTCTATTCCCATCTCCTACTTTAATTTGAAGATTGTTAACAAAACATTGAAGAAGATTGATTCTTTTCTCTGCCACTGCTAAAATATCACCCCATAGCTTTGACCATCTAGTGCCATTTGATTGATTTGGAAACCAAGCTTCAGCAGCAATATTATATTTACTGCACACCACCTTCTTCCAAAGTGACTCCTCTTCATTGGCAAATCTCCACCACCACTTCAGTAATAAGCAAGCATTAACCTCTCTGATTTGCCTAATTCCCAACCCACCTTGATTGATACTTTTGGTCACCTCATTCCATTGCACTAAGTCGATTTTCTCTTCAAGTCTGTGCCTCCCCACAAGAAGGTTGCTTGTATTTTATCTATTTCCTTAGCAGCTCCTTCCGGCAACTTAAAGAGTGATAAATAATATACAAGCAAGCTAGACAACACTGATTTAATTAGAGTCAATCTGCCAGCAAAAGAGAGGAGTCTCCTTTTCCAGCCAGCAAGCCTGAGTTTGACCTTATCTATAACAGCTTTCCAAGACTTCTTTCTGCTTGAAGGGAGACCAAGGAATTTGAAAGGTAAACTTTGAATCTTATAATTAAGTAAAGAAGCAAAATCCTTGATCAAACTAACAGGTAGACCAACCCCACAAACCACACTCTTGTGGTAATTAATCTTGAGCCCTGAGACCATTTCAAAGCACCTTAATATTCTTTTCCGGTTCATCAGCACCTCCTGCATATCCACTTCACAGAATAAAAGTGAGTCATCGGCGAATTGTAGATGAGAAACAACCACCCCATTACCTCCAACATGTACTCCTTTCACCAATCCCTTTTCCCTAGCTCTGAGCAGTAGAATATTGAGCCCTTCGGCTGCCAAATTGAACAGAAAAGGTGATAATGGATCACCCTGCCTGAGACCTTTCTGAGGGCTAAACTCTTTAGTTGGAGACCCATTCACAAGAACTGAGATTCTAGCAGTGGAAATACACTCTACCATCCATGAAATCCATTTGTAACCAAAACCAAAGTTTGATAGCATGGAAAACAAAAGGCCCCAGTTGATGGAGTCAAAAGCTTTCTCAAAATCAAGCTTGAGCAGCAGCCCCCTCTTCTTGGCTTTCTTCCACTTATACTAATATATGATGAACAAAGTATTCCAATTTAGATTCAATTACTATATGCTAATATGCCAATAGCTAGGGACTTCAGTTTGCTTGTTTAGAGGCTTATTACCATCGATTTTACTGCTTTGTATGCTATTAACTTGTTAAAAACCCTTGTTTTTAGTGAAACTCTGTTGGGTTCTATGTCAGTTTCACCACTGATATGAACAATTAAGATTACTGAAAAGCTGTTACTCTCAACATAGAGAGTTCTAACACGCTGAAGCTAGCAAATGTTAATTTTTATTTCGAATCAGCTTGAGGATGGTTGGACTGTGGCAATGCATCTTTCTATTGGTTAAATGGTGGATCATCTCCCATCAACAACAACAACAAAAAATTGTGGATCATCGAACTTCCATGACAATAATATTTTTACTTGTAGGCTAAGAAGCATAGATATACAGATATGGATATGTATACGAACATGGATATAGATGTGGACACAGGACACGGCGATTTCAAAAAAATGGAGTCAAGGACATAGGGGGGACACGGCAATAAAATAAGTTTTTATATATTTGTATTTGCTATTTAAATTAATATTACATCCATAAATAATCAATATTAACAAAAACTAACTCTAATTCTATTTTTGTTTTTAAATACTTTTAATTTAACACTTACCGTTTGTATTTTTTATATTTTTTAGATGATCTATTAAGTATTTAAATCTAAGAAAAAAAAATAATAAACATTCAACATTCATTAAAAGTACTAAATAAAATGGAGGAAAATGCAACTTGACTTGTCCTTAGTGTGTCCCCGAAGTGTCTCCAATGTATCCCCTGAAAATAAGTTAATTACACATATGGTGTGTCCCAAGCGTGTCCTCGAAGTCACCATGTGTCTGATTTAGATGCGGTACTTCTTTTAAAGTGTCGGTACTTCATATGTTGTTGGCAATATGGGGTTAGTTGGCTTTTCTAACATAAATTCTTCAACTAGTTAAGGTGTATTGATGACTAACGCTATGTTTCGTTGGAGGATTTGGAAGAGATTTGGAAAATGAAAGGAAAAAATTGTGTGAAATTAAGTAAAATGTAAGTGTATTTTATTTATATTTCACCTATCTTTTCTCTTTCCCTTTCTAAATCCCTTCCCTTTTAGTCATCCTCTGATCAGCCACTGATATGTAGCTTGGGTATTTTTTATATTAACATCAACAATTAGAGGAAGGGATTGTCTAATAGGTCTTATGATAATTAATGACGTTTTTATCGAACACTATTAAAAAATATTATTAATTGTTAATTTTCAACGATATTTTAAAATTTTGTCACAAAAAAAGCCACTAATTATAAATTTTAGCGATAGTTTAAAAAAAATCCCACAAAAAAGTCACCAATTTTTAATTTTCAGCGACAATTTAAAAAATTCGTCACATAAAAATGTCATTAAGTGTAAGTTTCAGCAAAAATTAATGATAATCGTGATCCAAAAAAACACTAATTATCAATTTTTAGTAGCATATCTCATCTTCTTGATTCGATAATATCTCATAAGAGATAATTACAGAGAAAAACTAAAATTGTTTCATAAACGCCAACTTTCTTGAGTGCAATTTGTAACAATTAAAATCATTAACATTTTAATTTTTTTTCTTTTTTCTTTTTATTAGCAATGAAATTATATCTAATTCAACGGAACTCACATGGTAAAATTCAGAGTATATAGTAGGGAAAAACACCGATAAATTCCAAGTTTAGATAGTTTGAACCATATAGTCCTGCAATTTATTTTGTAGCCTGAAAGGGCCCAAGTCAATGTTATTTTACACTTAAGCCTACGAATGTAATACGTGAGTTGGCTGTTTCAGGGGGTAAATTGGGTGTTTAGGTGATGTTGTAGTCACCAAAACGCCCAAATGCATACTATAGTAATTTTTTCCTTTTCCCTCCATTGCGAACAAAACGAAAGCTCAAAAATTGGAACTTCAACGTTTCCTTGTAGATGTTGCAGTGTTGATCCTTATTTTGTGTGACTTGGATGCAAGATTTGGCAACGTTGCACCTAGCATTCTTTATTCCTCAAATAACATTATAGAACCCCTTCAAAACCCTAGAAAATTCAAAAACCCCTTCTAGCAAATTTAAAGAGGAGCCACTGATATGTAGCTTGGGTATTTTTTATATTAACATCAACAGTTAGAGGAAGGGGAACTTACGTGTAAGTCCTAATAAGTGGACTTATTGTCCAATAAGTCTTATGATAATTAATGGCGTTTTTATCAAACACTATTAAAAAATATTACTAATTGTTAATTTTCAACGACATTTTAAAATTTTGTCACAAAAAAAGTCACTAATTATAAATTTTAGCAATAGTTTAAAAAAAATCCCACAAAAAAGTCACCAATTTTTAATTTTCAGCGACAATTTAAAAAATTCGTCACATAAAAACGTCATTAAGTGTAAGTTTCAGCAAAAATTAATGATAATCGTGATCCAAAAAAACACTAATTATCAATTTTTAGTAGCATATCTCATCTTCTTGATTCGATAATATCTCATAAGAGATAATTACAGAGAAAAACTAAAATTGTTTCATAAACGCCAACTTTCTTGAGTGCAATTTGTAACAATTAAAATCATTAACATTTTAATTTTTTTTCTTTTTTCTTTTTATTAGCAATGAAATTATATTAATTCCACGGAGCATACATGGTAAAACTTAGAGTATATGGTATTAGTGTTTTCAGTCAATCAAACAATTCGAAAGACAATAATATATGGATCAAAAAAAAAAAAAAGACAATAATATATTTTTTAAACAGAATAAAACTATATTGAAAATAAAAATTCATTACAAATTAAAGATCGAAACCAAAATAAAGAAGGGTCCATCCCAATACACAAAACAAAAGCTAATATGCTCAAGTTCATGCTCTGTGCATACTTTCTTTCACTCTTAAAAAAATAAAAAACAAAAACAAAAAACAGAAAATTAGAACTCTGTCTTTAGATCATACTTCCTATGATATTCACATTCTTGCATTAACACCAACTTTTTCTTGACAAACTTGACACCCTTTCGAGCCAAAACTCTAATTCAAAAACCTGCAACCCTCCGAGCAAGAACACGAAAACCGAACCTTGAATTGCTAGCATCCCAAAAAAGCCCGATTTCATCTCCATCCCTCAACTCCCTCCTCCTCACGAACCAAGTCACCCAATTATCCACCAACACAAAGCTCCTACTCGTCCGCCATCTTTTAAACACCAATTCATGTTCAGAACCAGTGTCATAATCCCAAACCACGACCCTCTCACCGACCATGTCCTCAACTTGCTCCACCCTCTCTCCACCCCACTCCACGGTTATATGCTTGTGCACTGCCTCCGCAGGCAACAAGAGCCGACAAAGATGTTCATTCACGTCACTTGATGTTAGGGTTTTCTTGATCTTCCATGGATCCTCAAAGAGCTTGAGCTTCGTCGACACCCCCAAATCCATCTCTCCTCTGCACTCCTCGGGAGTGTAGAACCGGAAGCTTCTGATTCTGTCTTCAATCCTCTTTCTTTCAAGTTCTTGTTTGATCATCAAGTAATTGTCAGTTGTTTTCTTGGATGGCAAGAAAGCTTGAGAATGAGAGCCCTCTTCTCTTTCAGAAACCTTCCTTTTCTTGATGATCGGAGACATCGTTAGTCGATACATATTCGGGTTCTTCATATAACATTTATCATCATTGATGCAAACAGAGAACCCAAAAACCGTAATTTCTTCCTTGTTTCTTTGATCTTCTTGTGGGATTTGGTTGTTGTTGTTGTTGATGGTAATGGGGTTTGAGGGATTCATGGTTGAAGTTGAAGCCACTGGCTCAGAAACCGGAGAATGAGTGCTTGAAAGAGATGGGTTTGTTTCCATTGATGAATTTTGTAGAAGAGAGTGAAGGTTTTAGAAAGATGAAAAAGAAATATGTATAGGGTTTATGGGGGTTGCTATGTTTATATACATGTGTTATATAATGCTAAATATGCGGAATCAGATTCATAATAGGAAAGTGAGATCAAAAGGGTTTCCTAAATCGTATCCTTGTAAGATTGGGACTTATAATTTTTGTTACAACTCACGCGTGTTCATAAATTATAAACTTCTTTGGGTGTAAACCACCAAGACTCTTTTGTTTTCCTTAATGATCCCCCCACTGAAATTGCTGCGCTGCTTGTTGCAGACATTATTGGGGCCGGTCCTTCTTCTGTTAATGTTTAAGGCACTTCTGCCTTGTACTCTGTTTTTTTTGCTTCCTGTTAGCCTTCTTATGAATCAAAAAAAAAAAATAAACTTCTTTTTTCTTGTTTACTTAAATTCGGGTTGCTTGTCATGTCTTTAAGTGAAGTTCAATTTGGGTCTACTAATAAAATTTGTACGGTTTATTTATAAGATCTATTGAGATATGATTAACTATATCCTTAACTACGTAATTAAATCACATTTATTTTTAAAATAGCAAATTACAAATATACCTCTTAAATTTGCTTAAAATACCTGATCTCATTAAAAAAATTATGAATTAACTTATTGATTAATTAATGAAAAGAGTTATTTATTATGAAATTAAAAATTTTAAAGAGTGAGACGCAATATTCATAGCGATAGAAGGCAATGGCTTCGTTTGGGAAGTTGCTATTTTAGTAGGCTATTTTAGTTTTTGACTATTTTAGTAGGCTAAAATTTTTGTGCTTGAGAAGATGATTGGATTTTTTTGTGGTTAGATATGATGTTTGTGAGAGAAAAAGTGAAATGATTATGGGTTTGATGTGATATTTTGTCTTATTAACTATTTTAGCCTATTTTATCTTTTTGTGAATTTTAGCCTAAACTAGGCTATTTTTTTTCTTGCCAAACACCTCCAATGAGTAATTTAAGTAAATTTTATGAGGTATATTTGTAATTTAAAAAATTAGACCACAAATGTGATATTGGATTTTGGGTGATTTTGATTATAGACTTTTAAATTTTTTTTTAAAGATAAATATGATTTGATTACTTAATTGTCAAGTTTTTTTATATGAATAATCTAGTTGATAAGTCTTACAAAATATCATAATATGGACTGTTGTACCTTGGCCACTTTAGGCAACCCAACCCAACCCAACCCAACCCAAATCTATCAAATAATCTCATAAATAAGACTGTAAAACTGGCCCGTTGTGCATTTCAGGCCGAACCCAACCCCATACCATCGATAGGGCTGGGCCTAGTACAAAAAAAGCCATATAAAATCATTTTTAACAATGAATTAGGATTAACTTTCAATAAGATTTAATAGAAATTAAATTCAACTATTAAGATTTGTTGATAATTTATCCTTAAAGAAATACCTCATCTCTCCCAAACTATTTGTCTACACCATAGGAAAAAAAAAAAATGTTCTTATATTGGAAATTTTAAAAAATTTTACTAATTAAAAGATCTCTTCAAGTACTTTAATCTGTTAAAAAAATTAATTTTTTTAATACAAAATATGTTATTTTTAAATTCTCACTTTTTATATTGAACAAACGGATATAGTATAAACCGAACCACCTATTATTTTTATTTTTATTTTAGTCCTTTGCAATTGAGGACTCTTCCAAGATTTCTCTAATAAATCACCTTTCTTCCTCTCTCATTTTGTCTCCGAAAAATGCTTGCTACCCCCAGCTGGGGGTGACACCCACTGAGGTGTCAGCTGGGGGTTGGTCCGGAAAAATTGTTTTTTTTTTTTTATTTCCGACCAGTGGGGGCGCGCCACGTCACTGGGGGCGCGGCCCCCACTGGGTTCGAATAATCACCTTTCTTGCCATCTCATTTTGTCTCCCGCCACTTTCTGTATTTTTCTCTCTCCTTAATATTTTTTTATTTTTTCCCTTAGGTTATATTTTGTCTCACCGCCCCTCTACAAAACAAAACCCCCCTTTTTTTTATTTTATTTTATTTTTTTTTTGAAGTCCTCCTTCGAAATTAAGATAGACTTTTGTGAAAAAGGTATTTTTTTTTATTTTTGTCTAATTTCTATTTTATTTATGTAGGTCAATACTATTCTTTATTTTATCTATTTATACACCTAAACTATTTAAAAAACCTCCAAAGGCTCTTCAAATATAGCTAATTTTGAAAAAAATTATTAAAATAACTAATGTACTTATTAACCCATTAGAATGACTAAAATATGATAATGCTCGTTAATAGTTATAATAGCATAAAACTCTACACAATACTACTCAATAACCTTCCACTTTCTATGTCTCGTAATGGTATTTGCATTTGCTTTTATCTATGTTGCCAAATACATCACTGCCAAGCACCCAAACCCAGGCCGCGTGGAGTTACGGGTTTGTTTGTTGCCATCACATTCGCTTTCCCTCTCTGCCTCAGGGTCATGGGTACACATACATACAAAATGATCCTTTTTTTTTATTTATTTATTTTTTTTATAACCAGTGTATGAATCGACTTTTGCAGACCTCAACTAATCTTAAAATCTTAAAATTAACAATTGGATCATATTTACTATTTGGTCAACCTCTTGAGATTATCGTGATTTCTGTTTGGCAAGTGAAGTTACAGTTCACTTGGCAACCTCCAAATTGAATTCAACTTTTTTGTGTTGAAATGTTTTAGGCTATGCTCAAATGCTCAACCCCATGATTCAGATGGGTTTCATTTTCATATACAAATAGATGGAGTCTTAGTAAGAGTTCATGATTGAAATCTCGCGTCATCATCCACACATGTGATGGCTATTTGTTACTGTTTTTGAGAAGTGGTTATAACATATTTTAATTTAAGAGATTATATGTCAGATTGTTTGATACAACTTCTATTTATAATATTTTAGGTACAAAAATAGTTTAACTAAACTAGGGGGGAGGGAAACACATTATTTGAAAGTTAGGCAAGAAGTATTTTTAGTTTTTTACTTTCTGATTATCAGTTTTTAATAAACTGTAACAAATAGGACCAATATGTGACAGTTATAGAATTATTATTTATTTATTTTTGTCAATTAGTTAAATTGAATAATCAACTATTTAATAAAGGGTTAATTTTACTTTCTATCCCTTAATTATTGTCAAATTATCTATTTAATGTAAACTATCGATTGAGGTTATTATGTCCCTAAAATATATAAATCAAAGCTTACTCAGCCCTTGAACTATCAATTAAATCTATTAAATTCTTAAAATATTTAATTCTTGAAAAAAAAATATATAAGTCCATAAGTATTATAAATTAGTAAAAGACTCTACGTAATTAAGATTTTACTCTAAAATAATCTTAAATTTTTATTATGTATACGTTTTCAGATAGAATTAACTCGAAAGTTTATTCAAGTAAATTTCCTTTATAAGAATAACTGTAGTTATCTAGATTTTGTTAATTATCTTCTATAATTGTTTCCTATTTACCTTTATTTAATATTATATATCGGATTTTGTTGATAATCTCTAATTGATTATATTTAAGATTTTCATTAAGTTCCTCTAATAACCTGATTAAAGTATTATTTTATTTTATTATTATTTGTAACGCATTACTATTATTAAAATTATATAATTCTATTTCTTCAGCCTATCTAATACTCATGTAATTATATTGGCAATGTTGAGAAATTAGACTCTAATACTAATTAAAACACAATAAAACATTTTAAAGACAATAGAAATTTAAATTTTTTCTATAATAAAATATTAACTAGCTATGGTCTTTTACTAATTTATAACACTTATGGATATATATTTGAATATGTTTAAATTATATATTTAAAGACTTAATAGATTCAATTGATAGTTCAAAAATTAAATAGATTTTGATTTATATAGTTTAAGGACTTGGTGGACTCAATCGATAGCTTACAGAATAAGTAAATAATTTGGCAATAATTGAGGGGTAGAAAATGAAATTAATCCTTTATTTACAATATAAATTGGCAAGTCCATGTTGGTTAAAAGTTAAATTTTTAGTTTTTTATGAATTTTTTTTTTAAAAAAACATGTAAAAAAATAATACTCCCTCCGTCCCAAAATATTAGTCCCTTATTCCATTTTTCATTGTCCCAAAATATTAGTCCCTCTTTATAAATCAAGTACAAAAATAATGTAAATTTCCTATTTTGCCCTTCTTTTAAATTAATAAACAATTTAAAAAGTACAATTATGACATTGATATTCCCAAAAAATGTACTATCAAAAGGGTAATTTTGGAAAAGCAACTTTTTTCAAATGCAATAAGTGTACTACTAAAAAAAGTTGAATTCCCCAAAAGGGACCAATATTTTGGGACGGAGGGAGTAATACTAAGAATACAACCCAAAATAGATTAAAAATTAACTTTAAACTTTTTTAACTCTTCTCAAAAAGCCCAGACAATCAAAGAAAAACCCTTGGAAAGAGCAATAATTGACTCTTTGACCTTTCAGTTGAGAGTCTCTAGGGTGAGTGAGTTAGGCCAAGTTTGAAAACTTGTAAAAAAGTTAAAAAGTCAAATAGTTACTTAAAAAGTTAAAAAGTTAATACTATTCACCAAAAGTCAATAATTACGGCTGCACAACTCCCAATTCGAATTTTTCCTTACAAATCAATTTTTACAATTTTTTATTACACATTTTTTCATAAAAAGTCAAAAAGTTAATCCAAACATTCATATTTTCAACCTCAATTTTTTAGTCTAAAAAGATAAAAAGTGCACTTATTTAAAACACCCCCAAACAACCCCTTACTCTAGTTTAGTTATAGAATTATCTTGGAATATGAAATTATATTTGAGTAGTGAGATTATTTCACGTGTAGTATTATTATTAGGTAATAATAACATGTATCAGCAATAATATAGGTTTCATTTGAGAATTTGACTATTTTAATAGGTTAAAATTTTTATATTTG